AGTTGAGATCGCGCCATTGCACACCAGCCTGGGTAACATGAGTGAAACTCCGTCTCAAAAAATAAAAATAAAAAATAAAAATAAAAATCCAAGTTTTGCAATAAGCAAAATATCTGAATAGATAGTTACAAAAACAGACAAACAAGTCACTAATAAGCACAGGAAAAGATACTCAACACCCCTGATCAGTAGGAAAAGGCAAATTAAAACCACCAGGACATAATATTTTTTTATGACATAACATTTTACACCTGGGGGAATAGGCAGACAGTGTCAAGGGTTCGCGTCATATTGTGTGAAGCAAGAGAGAACTCTAATATACCGTGCTGGTAAAATGTAAAATGATAGAACCACTTTGCAAAAAGACTTTGGTGAAACTTATTAAGTTAAATAAAAACCTACTCACTGTGCTAGCGACACCACTCCTAGGTATCTACCCAAGAGAAAGAAAAACGTATGTCCATGCAAAAGCTTGCATAAGCAAGTTCACAGCGGCTTATTCATAACAGCCCAAAGCTGAAAACAACCCAAATGGCCATCAGCATCAACAAGGTAAATGGATGAATGGTGGCATATTGATCGAATGAAAAGAAAAATTAGTCAGCAACAAAAAAAGGAACTACCAATAACATATAACACAGATGACTCCCTAAAATACAACACGGCATGAAAGCAGCCAGACACAAAAGAGCACTATCTCTGACTCCATTTACATGAAATTCTAGAAGAAGCAAAACTAATCTATCTTAACACAAAGCAGAAAGTGGTTCCTTTTGAGAGTGGATTTCCTAGAAAAGGGCATGTATGAGAATCCAATAGGCCGACAGCAATGTTCTGGATCTTGTGTTACACATTTGTCAAATTCAATGACTGTAAACATAAAGTCTGTGGGTTTTATTTTATGCAATTATACTTCCATTAAAATAAGGTTTATAGAAACGACACTCAAAGGAAGCCATGTCCTGCAGCCTTGAGCCATGTTAGATGTCAGCTCATACCTTAAAATAAACATGGTCACTGCCTCCTATTCACATATACTAGCACAATCTATACACAAGTATTCTCTGTATGAATTAAGAGTCTGATTTTTGATGAAGGGCGGGAATTTGTGGAACACACAGCATACTCTCTTTCTTAAAAGTCATCTAAGCCACTCACCCCCATTATAAATAATGCAGTTGTGCAAAATCCACTTTGCATCAGCCAGGAAGGCTTCTGTGCAGCCATACATTTTCTTTTTCGCGTTCTGGGAAGAAAAGCGATGGAGCATAATCACGGAGAGTCTAGACAAGCCACAGTCAGTGACTCCTGTGTCCCCACATAATTTTCCTAGCAGTCGTCTGCCAAATTAATTAGCGTTCTTCTACTCAGTTCCCAAGGAGATTCTTTTTAGCCTACAAGACACTGACTAAAGAATGCTTTCATTTTTCAGATCTATAACCCTATAAAAATGCACTCTTTGAATTTATTACAATAACTGGAATTTTCTCTTATAGTAGCTGTCATTTATCATGCAGCTTCTTCCAATCAACAGGGCATTTTATATATTTATACATTATTTATTATTAGTCTCACACAAACCTCACAATAACTCAATGAAGTACCTATCATACCCATTTTACAGAAGGGCAAACTGAGGTATACTAATGTTAAGGAACATATCTAAAGTTCCACAGCTCTTCATTTATAAAGCTAAGTTTCCAACTCCATCTCTTGAATGCCTTCTTTATTCCACCATACCATGAGAGTATGTGCAATTTCCTAAAAAAGACTGGATGTATGGTTTTGGAGTTATCAGGGAAGACAATATGAAGTAATGGTTCTTCCTTGTGAATGCATTTCACTGCCCATATTTTGCGGTGAACGGTCTGAAAATCAGCATCGGGATGATGTACACCATCTAAAGTGTTACAAGTGTAATTTGCAGCATGGAATTTTAGCATGAACTTTTAAAAACACCTTCAGGCATTCAAGAAACATCCTTATTAGTAGCTTAGGTCAAATTCTAAGAAGCTACATCTTTGCTAATCTGGAGGCTTTCCAGACACTTAATTTTCTCTTCTCCCTTCCTGCTGCTCTCATTAGCACCTTCAAAAGAAAGGGGAGGTAACGCTCAACACAATGAAAGCACTAACTCTTAGAAGCTATGGTTTTTGCAGGTAAAAAGCTAGAATCACGAAAGTATTACCAATGAATTTCAACATTCCATTGCAATCTTGGAAGAATGTTACAAAGGAAAGATGTTAGAGAATCAAGAGTTCTTCTATCCAAATAAAAAAGGAGCAACGAAAATGCAGAGAAACAATTTAAGATTGTTATGTCGAACTTGAGATAGAACATTGCCAGTGAGGGAAGACCCTTAGGCATCTCAACAACTGCTGGCTACAATGGTCAGGTTCTTTGACGGAGGCCAACCTTTTCCAATGTACAAAGGTCCATTGGATGGAAGATGTATTCCGCATAGTCAGGGTGCTGTTCCAAAGGAACGGGCTTCTGGAATGCGTCTGTCTATAAAAGAGAAGATATGCGCAAGAACGAAGCCATCATTACTGTGGAGAACCAAGCATTCATCCTAACAAATGGCCTGAAAAACAGAGACAGCTTCTCAGCTAATACAGTTCTAAAGGTTTCCATAAAGGCTGACCTTGGGGAGCTTCAAATTGGTCTACCTTCTAATTCTGCCTGGTGATTGATAATTATGAGCCCAACCGTGTTGCAGTTTTATTCTTGGTTTGGTTTTCAGTATACACTCAAGAAACAGATACTGTCCTCTTACATTAAGAGTGACAATTAGCCGGGCGCGGTGGCTCAAGCCTGTAATCCCAGCACTTTGGGAGGCCGAGGCGGGTGGATCACAAGGTCAAGAGATCGAGACCATCCTGGTCAACATGGTGAAACCCCGTCTCTACTAAAACTACAAAAAATTAGCTGGGCATGGTGGCATGTGCCTGTAATCCCAGCTACATAGGAGGCTGAGGCAGGAGAATTGCCTGAACCCAGGAGGCGGAGGTTGCGGTGAGCCGAGATCGCGCCATTGCACTCCAGCCTGGGTAACAAGAGCGAAACTCTGTCTCAAAAAAAAAAAAAAGAGTGACAATTACAATACGCACTGTAAGTTAAAAAGATGCTTTAACAAAATCAGCAACATTCTGCCCTGACTGATTTGACATCTAACAATTTACTTGAGAAATTAATGTCTTCTTCAATTTTTCTTCTTGGTTTTTAATTCTACAGGGTTGACAAGTCTGTGTGACTCATTCGTTTTGTAAATTGTCATTAGCACATATAATTAAGCCTATGAAAATCGAAAGTAATTCCTTGCCATACTCAACATAAAAATTCTATCATAGCAAAAAAAAAAAAAGAAATTCTGCAAACCAAACTTGCGTGGCATGAGGCATAACAAAAAAAATGAAAAAAATAAATAAATAACAAAAAAAAAGTAAACCAAACTAAGGCTATACCTTTTGCTTCCACTGAATGAGATTTTGAGATTTTGTTTAAAAGGGCCCAATTTGTTAATGGTTCTCAACTGAATGGTAGCCAATTGGCATGCTCTAAATTCTTTTATATTAACATCAACATTTCAGAATATAATTCAAAGCAAATTTTTTTTTTAAACAAAACCACAGTGATTAGCCCCAAGAATCTAAATTTCTGTATGTTAATGGACTTAGCAAACTCTCAAGAGGTATACAAAGGGTCACCACTAGCCCATATGGTGCCTCTGTGCAAATCGGATGGGGGGCACCACATCCACAAGTTTCTCTAGTTTCATCTCTAGGGGCCGGGCTCAGTGATTCACACCTGTGATCCCAGCACTTTGGGAGGCTGAGGCAGGAGGACCGTTTAAGGCCAGGAGTTGAAGACTAGCCCGGGCTACATAGTGAAACCCTGTCATTAAAAAAAAAAAAAGATTAAAAAAAAAGTTAGCTGGGTGTGGTGGCGTGTGCGTCTCTAGTTCCAGCTACTTGAGAGACTGCGGTGGGAGGATCGCCTGAGCCCAGGAGGTTGAAGCTGCAGTAAGCTATGATTTTACCATTGTGCTCCAGCCTGGGCAACAAAGCAAGCATGAGACTGCCTCCAAAAAATAAAAAAAAAGAAAAAGAAAAGAAAATATTCATCTATAGAAGAAAGGTCGTAATATGCTTATTATATTGTCAAAATAATAGTATTTTCAAAACCAAGTTATTTTTCTGCCATTTTCCTGAAAAGTATTATGATAAATATACAAACCACAGTGGCTATGGTATGACTGAGACTCACAGGTGGGGAACCGCTGTGAGGTACACAACTGGCCGGCCCAGCCCCCACATGCACAGTTTCCTCAAGGGGCAAAGGCTATACATTAAATCCCTCTCAAAATTAAAGGAACTAACCACATTCTCACCCTCTGTGGAAAAGTCACTGGTTGAGTTTGAAGGTTCCATCATTAAACCTTGGACATAAATAAACTGTGTTGTGCTCAGCTTCCTCAGTGAAATGGATTTTCCTAACTCCCATGGTTAAGCACAGAAGCACAAAGCTCTCCTTGCTGGATGTTGTATGAGGTTTCACTTTGCAGCCAATCAGAATTTTTATCCCCCTCAACTTTTACTATGTCATTGCCCAATTGATACAGTTTGGCTGTGTCCCCACCCAGCCTCATCTCGAATTTTTATCCCTACATGTCCAGGGAGGAACCTGGTGGGAGGTGACTGGATCAAGGGAGTGGTTCCCCCGTGCTGTTTTCGTCATAGTGCCTGAGTTCTCATGAGATCTTATGGTTTAAAAGTGTTTGACAGTTCCCACCCACTTCCTTCTGCTGCCATGTAACACGTGCCTTGCTTCCCCTTCGCCTTCCATCATCATTGTTTTCTGAGGCCTCCCCAGCCATGCAGAACTTTGAGTCAATTAAACCTCTTTTCTGGCTAGGCATGGTGGATCACACCTGTAATCCCAGCACTCTGGGGGGCCAAGGCTGGAAGATCACTTGAGGTCAGGAGTTTGAGACCAGCCTGGCCAACATGATGAAACCCCATCTCTATTAAAAATACAATAAAAAAAAAAAATTAGCCAAGTGTGGTGGCAGGCACCTGTAATCCAAGCTACTGGGGAGACAGAGGCACAAGAATTGCTTAAACCAGGGAGGCAGAGGTTGCAGTGAGCCAAGATCACACCATTGCACTCGAGCCTGGGTAACAGAGCAAGACTCCGTCTCAAAAAAAAAAAAAAAAAAAAGCCGGGCGCGGTGGCTCACGCCTGTAATCCCAGCACTTCGGTTGGCCAAGGCGGGTGGATCACGAGGTCAAGAGATCAAGACCATCCTGGTCAACATGGTGAAACCCCGTCTCTACTAAAACTACAGAAAATTAGCTGGGCATGGTGGCACATGCCTGTAGGCCCTGCTACTCAGGAGGCTGAGGCAGGAGAATTGCCTGAACCCAGGAGGCAGAGGTTGCGGTGGGCCGAGATTGCGCCATTGCACTCCAGCCTGGGTAACAAGAGCGAAACTCCGTCTCAAAAAACAAACAAACAAACAAACAAAAAACAAACCTCTTTTCTTCATAAATTACTCAGTCTTAGGCAGTATCTTTACAAAAGTGTGAGACCAGACTAATGTACCAATTAAACTTCTTTGGGACATACAGTGCTTACTACTACAACTGAGAATTAACTGAATGCCATCATAGCTGATGTGTGATTTACATACGCTTGAATCTGGGGACACAAGAAGGCCCAAAGAATACATTAGGTGCCTATAAAGCTACGCTATTAACAGAACAAAACAAACGTCACTACATTCATTTACACTTGTACCAAGAGGAACGTTCTTCTTACCCCTGGCTGTTTCATTTTCTGAATAGCAAACTTGAGCAGGTAGGATAATTGTTCAATGGTGAGCATTGTCATGGCTTTACTCTGGGTCTCGATGCATTCTGCTACTGTAATTTTCTACAAGTCAAAGTCATACACAAACGTCCAGTTAGAAAAAGAAATTACCATCCATGTACTGATTTCTATTTTTTCAGTCAACTCACACATAAAAAGCAATTCTCATCCAAATGAGACTTGCTGTTTCGCTTAGCAAAGAACAAAACACACCAGATCTACTGGAACAAAATGCACCAGATCAGTGGGTAACTATTAAAAAGCACATTCATCTATTTATTACCTTATCAGGAAGCATTTTTAGCTCATGAAGATAACATGATCTGAGGGAAGATGTGGGTAGACAGGGCCTGAAAAATCATTATTACAACCTTTAGGTTTCAAGAATGAGATAGGAAAGGGAAGGCCGGGTGGGCACGGTGGCTCACACCTATAATACCAGCACTTTGGGAGGCCGAGGTGGGCGGACTGCTTGAGCCCAGGTGTTGGGGACCAGCCTGGCAACATGGTTAGACTCCATCTCCACAAAAAAAAATACAAAAATTAGCCAGGCATGGTGGCACATGTCTGTAGTCCCAGCTACTCTGGAGGCTGAGAAGGCTGGAGCCCAGGAGGCAGAGGCTGCAGTGAGCCTTGATTGTGCCACTACACTCTAGCCTGGATGACAAAGCGAGACCCTGTCTCAAAATAATATATAAAAAAAAAAGAAAGGAAAGGCCACGGATGATTTCAGGGTGATTACTTCACAGGATGAATAATTATCAGCCACTTATCCTGATCCTCTTAAGGTTCTGAGCTGTCGTTCTGGAAACTGACAAGGCATTAATTCAATGACATCACTGATGGAAAGGGACAGACTTCCCTGCAGAAAGATTACAAGGGAAGGCAGTGGACTAATAATTCATTGTCCATCTCCCCGACTTTGAGCCCACCTAAGACATTGTGTCAGAGTACACAAGGAGCGCAACCTAACCTAACTGCCTATCTCCACGGGCAAGAGGTATCAGCTCATAAGGGAAATTCCCATCAAAGGAGAGACCCAGAGGAACGTCTGAAACCAGATTCTGCTATGAAATCTGGTACTATATCTTAAGGCTTCAGAATCCTTATGTAGCAGCAACAACAAAAATAGCAAATTCTGATCATGTCAGGAAACACTCTTTAACCATCTGTGTAGGGAGAGCTGAGAAAAGTTTTCTCCAATTAATTTGGATTCAGTTTCCATTTTTCACATCTCTGGGGCCTCCAAAAGGAACTCTCAGATGTGTCTCGTTGGTTGTCGAGGAAAAGGCCAACACAAGAGTCACTCGGAAGCTGAAAACAGTGCATGACGCACGCAGCTATTTGCTTAGCTACCAGAGCCTGAAACATTCAGTCTTCCAGTTGACTGCCATATCAACTCATCCCTGGGAGAAATTCAGGGACCTGAATCTTAGACACAGAGCACCTGTTTTGTTTGAATCTGGTTTGGTTCCAGGTAACTTATCCATAGCAAACACTAAGGCTGCCTGCCCAACTACCATTCATTCCCTCTCAACCCCCACTCCTTCTTCCTGGCAGGCAGTGCCTGGTTTGCACAAAACAAAAAGCACCAGATAAGCAATTTTCAAGGCTTTTTTTATACAAGGGACTGGTGATCCAATGCTAACCAATGAGCCCAGGGGCGAATCAGCTGGGGATGATGGACAAAACTTTTCTGCTTGATAAAGAGAGATGCAAGGAGAGACATCTCTTGGGATGTCTTTTGTGACATCCCAAGATGTCACAAATTTTGGGAGAATTTTTGTGTCTACACACATAATACCTGAACCCCAGCAGCCATCTTATGGCCATGGGAAACCTATAACCTCAACAATGAGATGGAAAAAGTGTGGCTCTGAACGACTCTGGCCTGGCCCTGCCTCTGTCTCCGAGTTCTGATGATAACAAATCCGTATTGTTTCAGCCACCTTCCATCAGGGACTAGTGCTTGCATTAACAACTATTACTTGTTGGTCAGGCCCAGTGGCTACACCTGTAATTCCAGCAGTTTGGAAAGCCAAGGTGGGAGGATCACATGAGCCTAGGAGTTCAAGACCAGCCTAACATAGCAAGATCCTATCTCTACAAAAAACGTATTAAGTAGCCAGGTGCGGTAGCGTGCACCTGTGGTCTCAGCTACTCAGGAGGCTCAGGTAGGAGGATCGCTTGAGCACAGGAGGTCAGGGCTGCAGTGAGCATGATCTCATTACTGCGCTCCAGCCTGGGCAACAGAACAAGACCGTGTCTCAAATAAAAATAAAAGAACTATTATTTGCAGGAAAAGCATCCTATCAGAGCCGCTATCATCTCTGCAATATCATTAAACAATTGGGAAGAGGTGGCCAAGACCAACAAAAATTGGCGAAGGTTCCAGATCCCATGCCAAATGTAGTAGATAGGGTCAGGCTCTGCGTGCAGAGGAGGGTGCCACTGTGCAATGCAAACTCCACATATTTCTCCATCTAGAATAACCCAAAGAGAACAGCAGCCACCTTTTGCCATATTAGAGAGAGGACGTCATCACACTGATTTGATGTCTACTTTCTTTTTGTGTATTTATTTTTCTTCTCTCCCTACACAAAAGCATAACAGACACTGACCTATAGCTTGCTTTTTTTTGAGAAGGAGCCTCGATGTCGCCCGGGCTTGAGTGCAGTGGCATAATCTCAGGGGCATAATTCCCGGGTTCAAGAGAATCTCCTGACTCAGCCTCCCAAGTAGCTGGGGCTACAGGCACGCGCCACCATGCTCAGCTAATTTTTTTTTTTTTTGTCATCCACTCCCCGCCCAGCTAATTTTTTGCATTTTTAGTAGAACGGGGTTTCACTGTGTTAGCCAGGATGGTCTCGATCTGCTGACCTCATTATCTGCCTGCCTCAGCCTCCCAAAGTGCTGGACCTACAGGTGTGAGCCACTGCACCCTGCCAACTTGCTTTTCGCCCTAGTAAAGATTATCTGGATCATCTTTCCATTTCACGCATGGAAAACTTCCTCATTTGAGATGGAACTCCAATGTACCTTTTTTTTCCTTTCTTTGAGACACGGTCTTGCTTTACTGTCCAGGCTAGAATGCAATGGCCTGATTACAGCTCACTGCAGCCTCAGCCATCTGACATCAAGCTATCCCTGAAGCTCACCCTCCCTAGGCAGCAGCGACTACAGACACACACCACCGTGCCTGGCTAATATTTAAAATTTTCTGCAGAGATGGGCATCTGGCTATCTTGCCCTCACAGGTCTTAAACTCCTGGGCTCAAGCAATATCCTACCTCGGGCTCCCAAAGGGCTAGGATTATGGTCACGAGCCACCATGCTCAGCCTCCAATGTATCTTTGAATCCAAGAGACATTCCACGTTAAATAATTGTGGAGGACAATTATTTAGAGATGACATTTTTATTTTCAGTGATTCAAAAGAGCACCAGAGTTGAGGGTCTCCAAGAACAGGAGCCACCTCAGAACAGTGGAAACCCTGATAACTGGCTTAATAAGGGTGCTTGGGCTTGCTACACAGGAGGCATACACACCGCCCCCACTACACCCCCGCACCGCTGCCCCCGGCTGGCTGCCTGGAAGGTCTCCCCAAAATGGCCTCACAGGTCACTCCTCTCCTTCATCAAGTCTTCCTCAAATTTTAGTGAGGCCTTCCCAGGCTACCATGTTCAAAATGAAAACACCTTGCCCCCTGCCCAGATTTCCTGTTCCCATCCTGAATTTGTTTTCTTCAGAGCACTTTTCTTTTGAATTCATGCTATAGAACATCATTTATTTTGGTTTTTGTCCTTTTCTGTTGGGGAAAAAAAAAAATGTGATTCATGCCTGTTTTGGGGCACTGTCACATCCCCAACCTAACAGGCACTTCAGCAATCCTTGTCACACAACAGAAAGCCTCAGCCGGCTACCACGGGGAACATGCAGTCAAACGCGGTCTTCTCAGCCGGGCCACTGCTGATGATTCGATGACGCAGCAGGAAATGGCATCCAAGAGGGAGAAGAACAGCACGAGATCTTTTTGAAATGTGTCAGCCGTTCATGATTTTGGAGTTAACTTTCAAAAAGTTCATCACAGAAGATTCAGAGACGACAACTGCTGATCTCCAAGCAATCCAAGGACTCATGAGGAGCCAGAAATAAAACTCCATGCAATTGTCTTTCCAAGAGCTGCAGTACTGCGGCCGCTGCCGATGATGGTCGAGAAGGGGGTGACCAGGATAGAACAGGTGGAAAGCAAGAAATTTCTCTTTTCCATCTATCTGGATTATTTGTAAATTTAAAAATAAAAAGAAGAAAGAGAAAGGAGAGGAAACGAGGCAGGTAATGCATTCATTCATCAGGAACTAACCTCACATTCAGGACAAAACCAGTCCCCCTCTGGTTCCGATGTCAGTCTCAGACACTTAGCGTGATAAACCCGGGGACAGAGCTCACAGCAAAGGACTTGGCCTTCCCGGTGACAAACCCAGCAGTAGAAATCATTCCGTCCATCCTGCGGTACAACATCAACAGGGTCTGTGGTGAGTGGCTGCTTCATATAGTAAAACGGACCATGTCTTAGTTCTGACTGAAATGTAGGCAAGAAAGACAGGTTTGGTTTCAAAACAAATGTGCATTCTCAAAAGGAATTTGAACAAGTACATCAATAACAACAAAAGAAAATTACAGCATTTCACAAATTCATTAAAAAGCCAAACTATTTTAGGTTAGTCTACTAAATACAGCATTAGCAAGTTGTTAAGTTTTATGAAGATTTTTCCTTTTTCTATTTTACGAGGCCACAATTGAAAGCTGGTATCTAAGAGTTACTAGGCAGGCCTAGCAGAATAGCACACTGGCTACAACCCAGATCTACCTGGGTTCAGATTTTAACTCTGTCATTAACGGTCATGCACCTTAACCACTCAGCTTCAATTTTCTCATCTGTAAGATGGAGGTGATAAGACCTAACACTTCATGGTACTGTGTTGGTATTAAAGGGATGATATAATGTGTGCATATTTATCAAAATGCCACCATACTAACAATGCTAATGTGGTTAGAAGCCCAATTTATAGAAGTCCCAATTTACAAAGCCAATGAAAGTGTAGCAGTTTGCCCTGGGATTCTTTAAATGACAGACATTTCGAGAACAGATCAACTGGGTTTGAGTCACCAAAAAATTGTTATCTAATTTTTAAGTTTACCCCCAATAAAGTGTTTCTGGGCCAACAAGAGGCTTCCTAAAGCCATGATTCCTGAATATCGTAGGTCCTTGTTTTTGCCAGGGAACCATGTCTCTTATTTGACATCAGCAATGGCAGAAAGATGAGATGGGTGGCCAATTCGGGGGCACTAGACTTCTTCCTGTCCCCAAATGTCAAGAGAAATACGTCTCTAACGATGTATGATGAAATCCAGCAAAGCCACACTTGAACACAAAAAGTCACTCAAAGGAAACTTAAAATGTCTATCAGAAAATATGAAATCCTGTTTAGGAAGTACACGTAAGTCCAGTGGGAAGGTTCAAAAAGACATGGTAATTAGCTGCGTGACCCTAAGAAAGCGACTCAACCCACTTTGAGCCTCAATTCCCTGGCAATAAAACCACGGAGATAATTTAGCCACAGCATATTACCTACCCTCAGGTAAATCTCACTATAAAACATGTTTCTTTTCTGTCCTTCAGCAAAACATGATGGTTTCCTCCATCAATATCTTCTATGCTGGTGAGATCCTGCATACTTTTTGATGATCTTACGAATGGGGATTTGCTAAATGGCTACCACTGGTACATAGGAATGTTGTCAGATTTCTAATACCGACCTCATATTTAGACAGTTCCAATAGTTTATTGACTGAAAATCCTATTACTCTTAAGTAATACCAGTTTTGCCTCTTCCTGTCTAGTACTTTAACATGACTTTTCTTTTTAATGGTTAAGACCTCTAGGATAACGTGCAAGAGTTGCCAAGATTGCAGGCACCCATATCTTGTTCCCAGCTTTTATTATGAGGTTTTCTTTTGTATTTGAGACAGGGTCTTACTCTGTTACCCAAGCTGGAGTGCAGTGGCATGATCTCGGCTCACTGCTACCTCCACCTCTGGGGCTCTACCAATCCTTGAGCCTCAGCCTCCCAAGTAGCTGGGACTACAAGTGAGCACCACCAGGGCCAAATAATTTTTTGGGTGGTTTTCTTTTTTTGAGATGGGGTCTTGCTCTGTTACCAGGCTGGAGTACAGTGGCACCATCTTGGCTCACTGCAACCTCCGCCTCCTGGGCTAAAGCGATTATTCCACCTCAGCCTCCCGAGTAGCTGGGACCACAGGCATGTGCCACCACACCCGGCTGTTTTTAGTTGCTTTTTTTTTAAATACAGACAGGGTTTTACCATGTTGCCCAGGCTGGTACTAAGGGTTAATGTTCTAAAATGCCCGGTATTTCCACAGTCCTTGGTGAAGAGCCTTGTAGATGCCTGTTTAGCATCTTTGTTAA